GGGTGACAGCATCAAGTCTGGATGGTGGAAAAATCTGCAAATATTTCAGAAAATAAATCAGGTATCATATGTTATAAATATTTTACACTGATAATAAGAAAACAAAAAGTTTGTTGTGTAAATGCTGATTCAAACTTTACAAGTTCCCAGATGCCCAAACCACCTCAACTGGCTCCTCTCGATTTTGAGAAGCAGTGGCTCTAGTCGACTCTGAGTCTATTCCAGATAACTGAACTCCTTATCCTATCTCTAAGGGAGAGTCCAGCTACCCTGCAGAGAAAACTCATTTAGACTGCTTGTATCCACGATCTTGTTCTTTTGGTCACTACCCAAGATTCGTGACCATAGGTGAGGGTAGGAACGTAGACTGATCAGTAAACAGAGAGCTTTCCCTTACAGCTCAGCTCCCTCTTCACCACAACAGACCGGTAAAGAGTCCGCAAAACTGCAGAAGCTGCACCAATCCATCTATCAATCTCACGCTCCATTCTTCCCCCACTTGCAAACAAGACCCCAAGATACTTGAACTCCTCTACTTGAAGCAGAAGGTCACCCCCAAACCGAAGAGAGCAATCCACCCGTTTCCAACAGAGGACCATGGACTCAGATTTGGAGGTGCTGATCCTTATCCCAGCCACTTTACACTGAGCTGCAAACCGCTCCAGTGAGAGCTGAAGATCCTGGTGTGATAATGCCAACAGAATCACATCATCTGCAAACAGCAGAGACAAAATCCTGAGGCCACCGAGCCAAACTCCCTCTGCCCCTGGCTGCACCGAGAAATTCTGTTCATGTAAGTTATGAACAGAATCGTTGAAGGGGTCCGACTTTCTACCGGCAATGCAAACCAAACTCTCACATCGCTTGTATAGAGACTGAATGGCCCGTAACAACAGACCCACAATCCCATACTTGCGTAGCAACCCCCACAGTGTACCTCGAGGAACACGGTCCAACGCCTTCTCCAAGTCTACAAAACATAGGTAGACTGGATTAGCAAACTCCCATGACCCCTAGAGGACCCTAGTGAGGGTAAAGAGGTGGTCAATTGTTCCACCGCCAGGACGGAACCCGCATCGTTCTTCCAGAATCTGAGGTTCGACTATCGATCAGACTCTCTTCTCCAGTACCCCTGAAAAGACCTTACCTGGAAGGCTAAGAAGAGTGATGCCCCTGTAATTGGAGCACACGCTCTGTTCCCCATTTTTAAAGAGAGGAACCACCACCTTAGTTTGTCAATCTAGAGACACTGCCCCCGATGTCCATGCGATATTGCAGAGTCACGTAAGCCAACACAACCCTACAACAACCAGAGCCTTGAGGAAATCAGGGTGGATCTCATCCACCCCTGAAGCCCTGTTGCCGTGGAGCGTTTTAACTACTTCAGCGACCTCAGCTACAGTTATGGACAGACCAGCCCTGAAGACCTCAGACTTGGCTTCCTCCATAGAAGGTGGGATTCAGAAGGTCCATCTCCCGACTACATCACTGGCTGAGGTCAACAGCACCCCACCTTCACTGAGCACAGTGTTAGTCAAGTGCTGCTTCCCCCTCCTCAGCCGCCGGCTGGTTTGCCATAATCTCCTCGGAGCCGATCGAATCTTTGTCCAAGGCCTCACCGAACTCCTCCCACATCCGAGCTTTTGCCTCAGAAACAGGAAGGGTTGTGGCCCGCTTGGCCTGCCAGTACTCCTCAGCTGTCTCTGAAGTCCTACCAGCCAACAAGGCCAGATAGGACTTCTTCTTCAGCTTGAAATACCTGGGGTGTCCACCACCGAGTTCGAGGATGGCCAACGTGAGAAGCACCAACAACATTACAGCCACAGCTCAAGGCAGAGGCTTCGACAATTGAGGCACGGAACATGGCCCGCTTGGACTCAGTGTCCCTGCCTTGGCTAGGATGTGGTTGAAGTTCTCCCGGAGGTATGAGTTGAAGATCTGTCTGACGGGCTGCTCTGCCAGGCGTTCATGGCAAACCCTCACTACACACTTGGGTCTACCAGGTCTATCCGGCATCTTCCCCCACCATCTGATCCAACTCACTACCAGGTGGTGCTCAGTTGACAGCTCAGCTCCTCTCTTCACCCGAGTGTCCAAAACATACAGCCGCAGATCAGATGACACAACTAAAAAGTCAATCATCAATCTGCAACCTAGGGTGTCCTGGTGCCACGTGCACTTATGGACACGCTTATGTTCGAACATGGTGTTTATAATGGACAAACTGTGTCTAGCACAGAATTTCAACAACAAACCACCGCTCAGGATCAGATCAGAGAGGCCATTCCTCCCAATCATGCCTCTCCAGGTCACACTGTCATTACCCACATGGGCATTGAAGTCCCTCAGCAGAATAAAGGAATCCCCAGCTGAAGCACCTTCCAACACCCCCGCTAAGGACTCCAAGAAGGCTGGGTACTCTGAACAATCATTTGGTGCATAAGCACAAATGACCATCAGAGCCCATCCCCCCACCTGAAGGAGCAGAGAAGCTACCCTCTTATCTACTGGAGTAAACTCCAAAACACAGGCAACAAGTCGGGGGGCCAAAAGTAGACCCACACCAGCTCGGCGCCTCTCACCATGGGCAACTCCAGAGTAGAATAAAGTCCAGCACCTCACGAGGAGATCGGTTTTGGAGCCCATGCTGTGCATTAAGGTGAGTCCAACTATATCTAGCCGGTACCTCTAAACCTCACGCACAAGCTCAGGCTCCTTCCCCACCAGAGAGGTGACGTTCCACGTCCCAAGAGCCAGTTTTGGTAGGCCATAGTCAGAGCACCAAGGTCCCCGCCTTTGGCTACTGCCCATGGCATCATGTACCCGACTCGTATGGCCCCTCCTGCAGGTGGTAGGCCTACAGGAAGGCAAACCCATGTAGCTCATCTGGGCTGAGCCAGGCCAGGTGCCATGGGTAGAGACCCAGCCACCAGGCACTCACTGACAAACCCCTCCCCCAGGCCTGGCTCCAGGGTGGGGCCCCGGTAACCCACATCCAAGCAAGGGACACCAAGTTCCTTTATTTATTTTGTCAATAAGAGTCTGTGGATAGTTGTATTTTTTTATATATATTTTTTTCATTACAGTTGTGAATAATTTAAATTAACATTTTAAATAAAACATTGCATGAATGCAAAATATGCTAAATACAAATATTTTGGTTCTTCTCTTCATTTGAAAGTGTCTGAGTCTCTTGTTCACATGTGATGGTAGGATAGATCGACAAATGGGGGCTTCATCCTCTTTGGTGAGGGTGTTGCTTCAATCGGTCATAGTGAAGAAAGAGCTGAGTCGAAAGGCAAAGCTCTCGGTTTTCTGGTCTGTCTACGTAGAGTGGCCAGGCTCAGCCTTAGACATGGGGAGAGGAGTTTTGTCATCTGGGGGGAGCTCGAAGTAGTCCACTTTAAAAGGAGCCAGTTGAGGTGGTTTGGGCATCTGATTAGACTGCCTCCGTAACGCCTCTCTTTAGGGGTGTTCTGGGCAGGTCTCACTGGTAGGAGGCCCCAGGGAAGACCCAGGACTTATTAACCTGGGAATGCCTCGCAGTCCCACAGGACAAGCTGAAAAGTGTTGCTGAGGAAAGGGATGCCTGGGTTTTTCTCCTGAACCCATTGCCTACGTGAGCCGGATAAGCAGCAGGAGATGGAGATGGTTATATCTCTGCCATTTCACAAGATGATCTTAGTACAAACACTGGCATAAAAAGGTGGCAGGTGATAGGTATTTCTTCAAGGAATGCTTGGCTTTTTTTGAATCAGAATCAGAATCAGATTTATTGCCATTGTCAGTGATAAGCACAGACTAGGATTATGTATTACACTGTCTAGCAATATTGTAAAATGGATTTAAATATTTACCGTGACATCTCACATAAAAAATAAACATGTCTGTTGTTCTTTTCACTTATTTAAGTTCTTACCCTGCTCCAGTGGGTTGCGTGTTATTGTGGGAAGTGTAACGAATCCTAGCCTGGTTCTCATGGTCAAACTGCTTCACCTGAGATTCCAGCTTGTAGATGACTCTGAGGGGTTTACACAGAAACAAACATGATAAAATAACTCTGCATGGTTTAAAGGTCATAAATACATGGAAATGCATGCAATTGTTTCCCAGGCAGTGGTAGTTATTTTCCATGGTACAGCACAGTTTAAACTGATGATGGTTGAAAATATGATTTTACCAAACACCAGAGCGTTTGTACCTTCATCTCTTTTCAACTCACTGTGGCTGTGTGAAAACCACACAAATGTTCTTCTGTAAATCCCAGCAGTGTGACATTTTAAAACCAGGAGTAGTCTGTAGCATGATGCTTTTGTAGGGAACCCCCCTGACCTCACGGTAAAGCTGACCCTGTGGTTGGCCTTCTTCAACCACAGGGTTGTAGAAGGTCAACCACGGGGGAACCTTTTTAGCCCCTGGACTAAAATGGATCCCCTAAAGTAGACTTTCTTCCCAAGTCCAACTTCCTCTGCATCATAAATTAAACATTTTCCCTGTCTGCCCCCTCACTGTCTGTGCTAGCTTTCAAAGGTGCCCAAGGACTTCTCTTGCACCTGCTCATAGTGACTTCATAGTAAAAAAAAAAAAAAACTTCTTTTAACATTTGATATTATGTTGATGTCCATTTCATATGCTTAAATATCTATTTCATTTGCTTAACAGTTTCCTTTTCTTTTTTTCCAACTCAAAATGTTTGTGTGATCATGTTCGGTTTAAGTTCTCAAAAATTAATGCCTACAGTTTGCATCATGAGAAGAGTCGTTTAGTCTTTGATTTTAACCAGTAATCATGTTTAGACTAGCCGTTGTGCTGTTTTATTTTACATTAAAATGAGTTATAATTGTGCTGAAATGAAACATATTCATTGTTATTCAGACTGAAGCCACAGCACCGCAAATCTCTCTGTTGACGACGCAAAACAGAAGCAAAATTACATCAAAAGCAGAAAAATATCAATACATTAGTGTTATTAATATCACAAAACAATAAAAAATTAACTTAAAAGGTAATATTAGAAGAACTAATGTACCTGCCGCATGTGCATGTTTATTTTGCTATTAAAGTTTTTTTTCAGACAAAAACAGTTTTTAAAACATGTCTATACAAATTATAAAAGTAATAAAAATACAACCGCTTGAAATTTTTCATTTTTATACCACCATGTTTTTATTTAAAACATATTATTTTCTCTCGCTTCATACCAGCAAAAATAATAAAAAAAAATCTCCGGTCAGGCTGCAATGCATTTTGAGATATGGTGGGCCGGGAAGGATCCATCAAACCAGTCCTTCAATTCGGGGCAAAGGAAGGACACATTTGTCGGCCGGATCCGACGAGTCTTCGGTTTTGGACGGCCTTTGTTGAGGCGCTGTGACGTAAGTGGCCGACGAACTCGGCCTTCGAAGGACCCGGACTCTCGTTTTGGACACAGCCTATGTTGAATGAATGAAGCTCTTGGAGGCTACCGCTAGCTTAGCTGGAGCGTCAGCTTTCTCCCTCAGCATCATTACTTTTAAACAACGTTTTAGGTTGGTTTACATTGTGTTTTAAAGTTTATAGGCAAAAAACGTCAACCTGGTTGGTTAAATAAAAACAGAGGTCTAAACAAGTATATAGGATTAGTGTTCCTGTCCGAGCCGCCATCCTGCCGGAAGTTGAGGAACTTGTCACACAGTTTGAGATCTGGAGAGCCAATGAATAAACCCGGGTGGTCAAACGAGGTGTCAATCAAAAGGGGCGGGCCTAGATGTCCATTTCAAGGTTCTGCTGTTTATGTACAGTGGTTTGCAAAAGTATTCATACCCCTTGAACTTTTCCATATTTTGTCACATTACAACCACAAACATAAATATATTTCACTGGAATTTAATGTGAA